CAACCAGGCAGTCAGTCAGTCAGTCAGTCAGTTATGCAAGCGATCACGATTTTGTTGACGTCAGTATATTGCCTTGACTAACTTATCCAACTGAGTGGTTTATGAGATAATACTGATTGTGATATTGTTATTAGATATATTGCGAACTTATACGTATGTAAGTGTACGTATGTATGTATTTAAGCACACCGACTGAGGCGGAGCTCATCTAAATAAGCGTTTTCAGGCAAGGATTTTTCACTAAAACCTTCTTTTTGGAGTCTGTATTAGAAGATCTTTCTTTTCGGCTTCATATTGCTCTTCGTCGTCGTATTTTTTGTCGTATTAATCCATGTAGNAAATGCTAAAATAGTAACCGTTTTGAGGTTATAAAAAAGGAGCTAACTTTTGAACCCTGACTTCAGTTTCGAATTCTACTATCGCAGATCTAAAGAGATTACCTAGTCTTATTCTTGCCAGCAAAAAAATAGAGCACAATTTGTTGATAACTCGAAGAAATTAATCCAAGATACTTAACACTATCGGCTATAATACAAATATTGATACTTTATTTTACATCGATTTGAAATTCATCACATGCTTATTTATAAGTATGAAGAAATTAAGACTAGCTATGGTTTTGTATTCACTATAGCCCTACCAAATAGGTTTACGGAGATTTTCCCGCAAAGTATACATTTGTATGTAAATACAAACACAAATATTGTTGCGTTATGTTGTTTTTTTGTTACAACAAACGCGAGAGGAACATTATAACATCTAGCTGCTATGATTTCGATCAGTATTCCAGAACGGCACAAAATTGAATTAAGTAAATAAGAATTCATATGAGTGATACATACATATGTACATACGAGTATGCATACATAGGTATACAAATACAGAAATTTTAAAATGTGGCTAAAGTACGAGTATCAAAAAAGAGGAAATACATATAGTCGGCCTTTCTGCATACAAAGATAAAATATAAGTAATAAATGCAAAAGATAACTACATACATAACTGTAGATTAGCGTAGAAGCTGTAATAGTGTATCGTTCATTGTTCAGATAAGGCGTTAATGAAATCCGTAATGTCAAGCAGTTAGGCAACCAGGCAGTCAGTCAGTCAGTCAGTCAGTTATGCAAGCGATCACGATTTTGTTGACGTCAGTATATTGCCTTGACTAACTTATCCAACTGAGTGGTTTATGAGATAATACTGATTGTGATATTGTTATTAGATATATTGCGAACTTATACGTATGTAAGTGTACGTATGTATGTATTTAAGCACACCGACTGAGGCGGAGCTCATCTAAATAAGCGTTTTCAGGCAAGGATTTTTCACTAAAACCTTCTTTTTGGAGTCTGTATTAGAAGATCTTTCTTTTCGGCTTCATATTGCTCTTCGTCGTCGTATTTTTTGTCGTATTAATCCATGTAGTTCGGATTCAGTTAAGTTTAGGCAAAAATTGGCAGAGTAATTTGGCCGAAAAGTTGTGAAGAAAATTTTTACAAAGTCGAATGACCTGAATTCGAGAAAAAACATTTTAAACATTTGGATTGCAATGTTAGCTATATGCGGAAACCAAAATATTTTCGTCTATAACATTTTAAATAGCCTAGCTCGCGGGATGGGGTTTTCACACACGCATGGAATAGTAGTTATAGAATACGATAGCATAAATAACTCAATTCTTTCTTAAGTCGACTTAGGTGGATATTGCTTATGACCACAGATCACGGGCGGATCCAGCGGGGGGTTTAGGGGGTTAAACTACGTGTCACGTCAGTGGCGGACCCACGGCGGGTGTTTTAATACATAGACGCCATATTATNCTGTAGATTAGCGTAGAAGCTGTAATAGTGTATCATTCATTGTTCAGATAAGGCGTTAATGAAATCCGTAATGTCAAGCAGTTAGGCAACCAGGCAGTCAGTCAGTCAGTTATGCAAGCGATCACGAATTTGGTTGACGTCAGTATATTGCCTTGACTAACTTATCCAACTGAGTGGTTTATNCGCCCGCCACCTGACTAACGTTGTTGGATTGATATACATTAGGGCGGGTCGAAAATCTAATTTTTTTTCAAATCCCTTGGTAATAGTGAAAATATATTGTATCATGAAGTCAACAACAAGCCTGCGAAATAGTAGTCTTTCATTTTAATTGTAAGAGCCCGCGCATCGACCGCCAAGTGACCCACAGCACACTAGTCGAATAAGACCAATTCTTGTTAAAAATTCTGGGTTTAGCCAAAAATTTTGGTGCATATTATTAGATAATGAATCCTTTAACGCAAAAGATAAAGTCAAGTATCATTTGGCGCAGCCCTTTATCTTATCGTTAATCTCAAACTTATCTATTTTCAAGATAATTTTAATTGTTCTCTTGATAATTGCACTGGCCTATAGTCAAAAGATGTAAAGAACAATATTAATATTGCTGGCGTGCATTTAGATCGCTAGTTCCAAATATTCTAATCCTTTTTTAATATTAGCTATAGTTTGCGATTTTTTTGCAAATTTAGGAACAATTTCGGTAGCTCTAATAGAATAGCCATTATTTTCCATCATCGCGGAAAAATTTTGTTTATGCAAATTAGTATGGAAACACTGAACAGGCACAACTTCTAGACACACTAATTGGTTTACTTATGTTTATGCATACAATATAAAAATTGCAAATATAAGAAAATGATAAAAAATTTTGTTCAAGATTTTTTTTATTTTAAATAATTTGTTTATAATCTGAACTATTTTAGTCATATTATTATCAAAAATCAGTAACATTAAGTCTCGCCTTCAATTTGTTAATTATTACGCACCGATCGAGTAACATTTACCAAAGTTATATCGAAAAACTTAAGTGGATTTCCAGTTTTTTTCTAAAAAAATTTCTCTTCAATTGTATAAATAACCTTTAAATAAAAGAACCGGATTACAGAAAACTGTGCAAGCGAGTGACTTTTTTCGTTCAAGCTGAATGCAAAGCAATATCGTCCAATTGGAGAGTCCGCAAAAGGATTTCCCAGGATATGTTAAAGACTATTGCATTTACTTACAGACACTTTTTCACATAATGGAATTAACTAAAATATTTATGTATATCTAAACACTTATTGCACGTCCCCTACTTTCATATAACGGCAAATTTAGAAACCGCGAAAAATGTGCTTCTGCGGCGACTAATGAAACCATTCCGCACCAGTTTTCAAGACTGCAAAAATGGACTTAAAATGGGCGTTTCTCACCCTAATTGTAATGTATGTAAATACTTATATGTTTGAAACTACTATTAACTTGTCGAACGATTCCTAATCTTTGACAATACATTCATTCACCACGATCTTGAAAACTGACCAAATCGGCGTGACCAAGTCCATGGTCATTTTAATATTATATAAACATTAAAAGGTTTGAAATAAATCTCGTCTCACTTTTTTGTATTTTTCACTTGGTTGCTGAAGTAATGAAGAATTGAAAATTCATAAGGGAAAATCATAGTTTTCTTATTTTTTATTTTAATATCTTAAAAACGTGTAGACTTATTGAAAAATGATAAATGAACGTGAGGTTCTAAATTTAATAGCCCTTAATTTGATATATCGTCATGTTTATAACAATAACGCATTCCATAGATATTACAAGCCAAAGTTACATTTTCAAAATTCATACACTTTGATTCAATAGCGCGGGCTAAAGATAAGTTTTAAATTAATCTTTCGTGGCCAATAACAATTGGCTGAGACCTAAGACATCATAATATTACTATTACAATGCGGTCAAATGACTTTTATTTTCCCCCATACAAAATCGACCCAGCCTAATATACATCTTGTTAAATAATATAAGTATTCATGGAAACGCATAAATGCCTCGCAACAGCGTAAACCTCTTAAATAAACCATACAAAATTAAGTAACGTTTACGAGGTTTACATGGTTACGAGGCACTCACGCGTTTAGATGAATTGCCCTAATGTAATAATTCTAAGCTATTCTACAAAATTTGTTTTTTTATCCAAACCATGTATGTGAATTGGTTGAAAAATAAAATCGTTTCCAGAAAGGCTCGGTAGAATTAAAATCGAAAGCATCATAGACATGATGTCATATTGCATGGACCTGAATTTGAAATAACTCGAATATGTTGTCCATTTTTGGCAGGTTTTTGTTATATAAGTAATATATATTCTGAGTTTGAAGCAAATCGGCCAATAAATACGATTTTTAGCGTAACTCGATACCTGCGCCACCTATTGGACAAATTAAAACTTTGTGCACTCCTCGTTCTAAACACCTTTCCAACAAAGCAACAAGCATTCGAATTGGTAATGAAACATACATCGAAGAAAATTGTTCCCAATTGATTCATGCTTGCCTATTTATAGATAGATTTCCTGCCCGAAGTTTTAAAGCCCGATACAACTTTTGGCAAGTCAAATTTTTAAAATTGCTTTGTATAGTATAGATTAAAGCGATTTGGGAATTTTACAAGCGTAAAGATAATGGGGGTGCTTGGAACATTTATTCGAAAGTAATCTCGCGGAATAAAACTACGATTTTTTCAAGCTATGTAATTTTTACTCTTAAAGTTCCTTCAAGAAAAAAGCCGAGTATTCGGTTAGTGTTCGGATTCGGCCAAAAATTCGAGTTCGGTCAGGCACTGGTATTCATTCTCATATTGGCCTCCGTATTTGTCTCACAATTCGCCTTCAGTTAATATTCATATTCGTGCTTGTATTCGCCTTCGTATTCGTCTTCGCGTTCAAAAACAAAATGCGAACACAATGCACTCTTAGCATATAAAACGCAACTCAAATTTAACAACTAACAGGAATAACCACTACAGAATAAAAATTTAAATTCACAGATACACAGACCAGATACTTTTCAAGGTAAACATTTTTTAAACTTTAACTATTTTCAGTTTTGCATTCATTTTACTCACTCGCAACGAGCATAAATTAAATTAACTGAGTTGCATAATTACCATTTCAACTACAATCCCATTAAATAATATGCAAATATTTGTACACTTACCGCGACAGAAAGCCTCCGCCGCCATCGTCTCGTATCAGCAAACGTCCGCTATGCTGGTGCAGTCCCTGCGATGACATATCAACAAATTCGCCGCCGCTCCCCACCAGTGTGGGGCGGAAGCTACTGCTACCAGAGCTTGTAATACTGCCCGAACGACTAGCCTTTCCTCCGGCGCCAATACCTCCACCTCCACCTCCACCACCACTACCATTGCCACCGCTCAGCGGTGGATATGAGATCAATTGCTGTTGGTGTGAAAATGATTTTGTAGTAGATGCAGATGCAGATGCAGATGCAGCAGCAGCAGCAGCTGGTGTGATTGGTATTAATGCGCCAGCTGCATTACCATTGCCCACAGTTACAGGCGATGGTATGGGTCGAGGCGCTGTGGCAAGACGATTTGTTTCTGGTGTGTGCGCAATGCTGGTGTAGTGCTGCAATAGTGAAATAATGAAATGGAAATGGGCAGGAATATGGTTATTAGTAATTTGTCATTTATGAATGGCACAACAAAATACCAACACTTACCATCTGCAGTACGTCGCACTCCTTGGGCACCACATGCAACGTCAACACTGAAGGCGTTTGTTTGATCATCGACACGATTGTACTGTATGTTAGACCAGCGATGGGTGTGTTGTTCACCATTAGAACGCGATCGCCCGTCTGCAGGTTGGCGTAGTGAGCAGGTCCGTTCGTTTGAACTTCTTTTATGAAAATGGTTTCCATAGCTTTCACTTGGTGGTGGTACGGATCAGATGCTTCCTACACACGCCAAAGCCAAAGCCAGTCAGTCGTCGGTTAGTTAGTCAGCCAGCAATACAACGACGAGCCAGTCAAAGTGAGCCAACAAAGTCAACACCAACACCGAAAAATCGCGCGGCGAGAGTGGCAATTGGAGTCGAAGTGGAAATCAGAGTCAGCGCATGCGAAAGAGCCAAAAAAAGAAAGAAAAAAAAACAACAACAAAATGAGTGAGTGAATGAGTTGCTTACTTGACGGTTTAAGTGTGAGAAAGTGTGCAAAAAAGGAAAGAAAAAAATAATAACCCAAAAGTAGAGGGAGGGGGCGGTGAAAAAAAAATGTTGTTAGTTTTTTATTTTAATTTTTTGTCGTTATTTATTTTTTAGATGTGTTTATAATGAATGTTGTAAAAATGTCTGTTGAAGAAATGGCGAAAAAGTGGTTAGTGGTCGTACGTTCGTTTTTATTTTTTTATTTTATTACTTTGTTTGTTGTTGCTATTGTTGTTGTTAGCAGCGTTTGTGTTGTTATTTAAAGTGGCAATCAACGAAGCATGGCAAAAACAAAAGCGAAAATACTCAGCATAAAAGAAAGGCAAATTTTAAGCCAAACAAAAATCAGGGGAAAACAGCGAAAAAATGTATTTTAAATGCGAATAACTGTAGACCAATCGTCTGTTGGTTTTGCTGAAGGGAGAGCTTGATGAAAGTTCGTAGCGGGAAGAATGCTGAATGCTAACTACATAATAAAATAAAAAAAAATATTTGGCGCTCACATTCTTGTTAAGTGTTTGGCCGAACTTCACCTCCAAATTGCGTTGTGCGTCACACAAAATGCAGGGACCTACAGTTTGCCATTGTCGGTCGAGGGGCGACCGCTGTTAACCACAAATTAGGGAGTTGTTTAAAAATAGCATATTCGAAGAAAAGCTGAGTTCGTGAGAAAAATACACAAATCAAGTGGTTACAAAACTCGGATATGTAGAAGAACTACTCTCGGCGTATCAAGGCAAAGTTGTTGTAAAAAATAAATATGGGTGGTTACTAATATTTTCTACACCTGCTTTCCATCTTGGGATATCCAAATGAATTTAAAAAAATGCCAAAGAAGTCTGCATCCAAAAAAATCAAAAGCTCATCAGTGTTTTCCTTCTTTCTACTAGATTACTTTTTTCTTTTCTCCACGAACTGGCAAATGGACTTCTTTGAGTTCATGTGGAATCCCTTTATCGAGCTTAGTTACGTATCCAAACTTCTTCAGGTGGAAGTGAACATTTTCTTCACTTTTTTTACTTTTTTTCAATGTTTCTGAATGATGCGTTTACGGTCTGTTATTTGAATGATTAGGGATTAATGTCCATAATCGTTCTATTTTGGTTCTAAGGCGATTTTAAATAATTTTAGAGAGTTTGAAAGCGTTTGTATATTTAGAGAAGTATAGAAATCTAACAAGAACTCGCGAAAGAATAGACTTTAGTTACGTCAACTAAAGATATTTCTTTCACCACAGGATTTGGTGATATTTACCGAGTCATTGGCCAAGAAATTGCATAAAATAGGAAAAAAATTCAAAGGCTGCGAAAATTGTTTTTGCGTCTAACCAATTCCAATTGGAACCCCATTTTAATAATTAATTTAACTTATTCAATAATTTGAATTGAACTTTTCCAACAGGTGGCAAGCCTCTTCAAAAATATTTTCAAAACTACAACCTTCTATAATCTCTTTCGTCTGACACTGTGATACATATTTAAACTGACTGGTGCACTAAGTTGAGTTTAACTTTTCGAACAGGTGGCAACCACCTACAAATACCTCAAAGATATTCTAATGTTCAAATTAAAAATTTCATTTCCCTCGACACCCAATTTTAATATTTCATATAACTTGTATATAATTTAATTTAATTTAATGCGATTTTTTAAACAGCTGGTAACCCTTTTCAACATATTTTTTTACTAAAACCTTATTAAAGCTCTTTCTCTTTCTAAATTCTGTAGCTGATTTAGATCGCAAAAGAGAAGGCGTATGACTGAGGAATTATACATAGATTATATGTACACTATTTTCTCAGTGTAAAATCTAAATCTAGCTTTAAAAAATTTAAGTTCGAAGCCGTTCTTATATAATAAACTTAAGAAGTTTCTACAAATTGCTACATAAAAAATTTAAACGTTCTTTTTACCTATTCGATTATTGCAAAAAATTTGCACATCAACTTTGTTTTATATACCTACCGATTTTTTATGACTGACCTTCTTCAAGCAATCGATGGGGATGTTTAACGACTTTCATTATTCTATTAAAATTTAAACAAAAAGCATAACGAACTTTCGTCAGATTACCTCGCAATCAACTTTTTTGCACATATTCCATGCAACTGTTCATACACAAAAAATAAAAAATAAAAATACATAAATGGTGTACCCGTGTGTGAAAGAGTGCCCACATTATACAAACATATTTATGTGCTGTTTGTATGCTTACCTGTGGCCAAGAGGGATCATCTTCCGGTGGGTAGGCAATGAAATGACGCAGCGTAAAACCGAAACCTTGATTCGGACGTCGTCGAATTACAACGACTTTTGGCTGTATGGCGGTACTATTGGTGTCTTGCAACATTTTATGATGTTTTTTTTTTGTTTTGCGGCAAATGCGGCGGCTATACAATTGAGTGTGGTAATTCTTCTTGCCTTTCTTACTGTTATATTCAATGTAGTGTGTAGTATATGTACATATGTATGTATGTTTGAATGTTTGTTTATGTGACTGCAATACTATGTTGCGAGTGTTACGCGCTGACGGTAACTGTCTTAATGTCACTTCTATGGTATTATTATGACGATGGACGTTGGCGAAGTCACAAAGTCGAAGTCGAAGTCGAAGGCTACGGTGTCCGCGTTGGCGATGTGTAAGTGAAATAAGGTTGATTATAGTATTTAGTAATGGTGAGATGGCAATGTTTTTATGTTATTGTTTGTAGTTAGTTTTTGCTTTTTGTTGTTGTGCTGTTGCTGTTGCTGTTGGTTTAGGACAGTTGACAACATGCGCTTGATGCGTTCGTTCTCAAAATGTCCCCATTTGTGCTTACATTTACATTTGCGCTATAAATGGTAATTTAAACTTTATCGTTTTGGGGTGTTTTACTTCTGTTGTTTTGCGTTTTTGTTTCTGCTTTTCACGGTTCTTTACAGTTTTAGCTTTTTTTTTTGTTGTTGCCAGGTTTTTTTGTTTTTTGTTTTTCCTCTTCGCCTACTGTGTTTCCTTGCTTTTCACTAGCGGATTATGCGGTCTGATCCGGGGGTTTTGTGCGTCATTCAATAACACTTACAACCTTCATTGGGATTCCCTAGTCCTGCGCTTTAGTATAACATTTCGTTTGGCGTTGGTTTCCTTTTTCATATAAGGCTTCTTTCTGCCCATTCATGCAAGACTTCAAACTCTTCCACTTTGCGTTTCGATTTTCTTTAAGCCATGCTGAATGTATTACATTGTTCCTGTTCCGCTTTCAATGTTTACTTTCATTCGACGCTTTGTTATGATGCATTTACGTACGTGTGCTATGTACATTATCTGCAATAAAATAAGAGAGAAAAAAAAACAACGATAAATAACCAGGTTTAGCTGTCTGTCCGATAATTAACTTAGTAGTCGGAAGAAAGGCTCAAATGCAAAGAGAGAGAGTGAGTATACCAATTAGCTAAATTGCCAATGGCCAGTAATAATGCTTTGACTGGGATATCTAGCGCATATGGGTAATAAAAGCTAAAACACTATAAAAAAAAAGGAAAGAAAAAGAAAATTACCGCCTAAACCTAATTTACGATCGAAAACTTAAATCTGATTTCCGGTACAAGAAACTTATGAAATCATAAAAATTACACAAAGCTGCACCTTCATTGGCGCGCTTGAAACGAATAGATTATTTCCGCAAACAAAGCTCAGCGGTAGAAGAGGAATAATAATAATAGCAACTCGCTTTAATTTTACTTTAATAACTTCAACACAAAATCTGTTAAATTTTTAATCCGAATTAGCAAAGCCACCATTCTTCACTGTTGCCGCGACGTCAGATTTTGCAAAATGATCTATTAAGCGAAAATCGTTAAATAAGTAATTAAAAAAAAATATATATAATCACAAATCACAATAACAAATCATATTTATCCTCTGTTGAATAAGCGTATATCAATAAACTCAGCGCTGCTGTTGTCGTAAACAATAAATAGTGGAAAAACTAAACATTTGCAACCAGTAGCCAATACAGTAAGCGAAACTTAAATGCAACTCCAACAAAAATGGCTACAGAAGCAACCACACTTACGTATTTGCGTATCTGCATATGTATTGGCCAATAATCGCAGCATACGCGTGTCCGTCAGTTCGCCATTTGAAAGGCGACTTTTATGAAAAATGTTGTAAAATTCAATTAAAGCAGTGCCTGCTGCTGTGACGGTGCCGTGATGCGATTATTACAGCAAAATGCATTGTAAATATAGGTACAGTGACTCAAGCAAGCGTTCACATGGTGATTTTTTTTTTAATTATTCATAATTAGAGTATTCACAGGGCGTGCTGAGCGTCGTAAAATCGTATGTCATAAAAATTTTCATGTAAAATAATGATTAAAATGGTTTTAAAAGATTTGTAACTCCACCGAAATGTTTTTAAACTGATACAAACTATATAATTAGCTCTTATCTTACACAGCGAATCCCCTAAACCCATTTTAACCGTTATATTACATTAAAAAAAAATTGTAAGACTAAGATTTTAAGACGCTTAACACGCCTTGTAAATCCCCTAAATAGTTTAGAAGTTAAAAATCGTCTGTTAATTTTTGATGCTTTAACCAAAACCATATAAACACAAGCAAGCAAAAATTGCCCCATACACCCCTGAGTCTAAAGTCTAGGGGTCGGGTGGCCTTTTTACAGTTTTCGATGACACCTATGTACATTCAGCAATAATTTTTTTTTTTTAATGGATCTACTGGTACTTCCTAAGGAAGAGTTTAATGATTTTTGCGAGCTTTAATTAACTTACATTAAGGTGGTACGTTAGGGTGATAAGAATTGAGATCTGGTGAATATCAATGAACTTTGGTATAAAAAAAAATTATCTTCGAGACAAACACACTGAGAAATCACACTTTAAGATCTGACTGTAAATGTCGATATAACGAAAATTTGAATTAGTGTCTCCATGGTGAAATTATACCAGGTGTAGTAATAACAGCGAGAAAAAAGATCTTATTTTTCTTTGAAAATTTGCTTTCAAAAATTTCGATAAGATAGTCGGATGTCGAGAAAAGATATAAAATAAAGCGAGTAAGCTGTTGTATTACTTCGCCTGTTTATAATTACACCGTACACGTTCGGCCAAAAAAAATAAAAAAATTTCGAGATTGCCTTTCGAAAATATTTTAGACTATTTTATGCTATTGAGATATAAGCAAAACAAAATAACCTGAAGCAAAGCAAAACACAGGCAGTATTAATAAAATGTTTCCAGTTAAATAAGATGGTGATGAGGAAGTTTTGGTGGACGTTAGATATATACACTGGCGACACTTTTTGAGTATTTTTTTTTTTTTTTTTGAATCAGAAATGTTCCAAGAGTATTATTAAAAATAATTTTATTATTTTTTGTAATTAAGAGATTTTTTATATCGATTTTTCAATATAAATTTTTTTAATACAAATTTTTTCAATATATATATGTTTTCAACATCGGATTTTCCGATATCGATACTGTTGATTTAACTCAATGTAGCGGATTAATTCATCCTTTATATTGCACTGCCATCGGATTCTGGGCCAGGTTTGAAGTTTCAACCCTCTGGCTCATCGAAAAGTTGGTGTTACGTTGTTACGAGGATTAGATGACTACCCATAATGTTTACTGGAGGAACAAAACTAGGCGGAAATGAACCGTTAGTCTAATAGTAGTTTATGGACGGTGAGTTGAAAAAAAGCGAAAATAAACGGTTTGTCGATTAAGTGAAATCGGCTATTCTTTAACAAATTTGACTAATCGATTAATCAATTAGTCGAATTGATCTTCTTTAGATTAAAACCTTTGAAATTGTAGTGAATCTTGTATTTATGTTTTTTTTTTTCTGGTTATATACATATAGAATAAACAAAAATTTTATTAAAAGTTTACAAAAAAAAATCAACTCGAAAAACATTGTGAATATTTAAACAAAAAATACTTGTGAACGCTTGTTTGAGTCACTGTATAATGTATGCATTTGTAAGTGTACGTGTGCTGGTGGTCACTGACCCACTGTCTAGCAGCCGGACAATTCATCACTAACGCCACCATCTGGAAGATCTGAGCATTTGTTGTGTGTGCGCGCGCGCGCAGCATTCGTGTTATTTTGCGCTAGCGCACAGGCACTCGTCCGGTTTGGTTAATCGCATTCAAAGGCGTTTAGGTGTGATTTAACTGGCCTCAACGGACATCAAATCGAAAGCGTTAATAAAGTTAAACACATTCAAATAAAGTTAAAGCGACAAAAAGCTATTAAAATATGTTTTTTTTTTATTTGCTGTAATTAAAATTAGCTATAAAAGTTTATTTATATTTGCAAGCCCAGCAAAAATCAAAGTGAGATTTTTCACAGATTTATTATTTTAAAACTAATAAATAATGTAAGTACATACTTATTTTCATATTTTAGGAATAATTGACGTATATCGGTTGTAAAATTCATCCGACCTTATTTTGAGCGAAAGCTAAGTGAAATTAAACTAATCTTCATAAATGCATAAAAAAACCGTTATTGACAGTAATTAGATAAGGACCAATTAAAAACTAGATGTGTGGATCAGATTATGTTAACTTGGAGATATAAGTAAAAGTAATAGTAAAAACAAATTCATAAAAAGTTTGAAAATGTATCTATTAATAGCCCAAATTAGCTATAGCCAATAGTGGTAAAATGTTTTGAAGCAAAGGTAGTAGTTGTCAATGTCTCGTGACGAAAAAAAAAACACGCTAGTCAGTTCTCTTCTGCTAACGCCAGCGCATATGTCGTTATAAAGCTCATACAGCTCATTCTTCCATCGTCTGCAGTCTTCGCCGTCGCCAACGCGCAAAGTAAATCTTCAAGGGCCCCTTCAGACCGTCAACTCTAGCAGCTTTGTTGTTTTTCAGCCGCAAAATTGTCTTCCGTACCTCGTCATGGTGGAGCGGTGGGATATAGCTTCCGTCGCCCTCTACCAAGGATTCTGATTCATCTTATCCACTACTTTCAGTGCTGTTACCTCTATAAATAACAATAATAGTGCTGGACATCAGAAACCAAGTCGCCGTGGTGGTTCTTGCAGGAATTGGCACTGGTTTTGAAACCTTCCGTAAGCCGTCTAACTTTTTCTTATCGCACAGCATTTCAAGCTCTCCATTCTCACGTATTTCGGCCTATTTAATGCCGGTGCGAGGTCAGTTCGCGTGTCGCCCGATATCAGCTTAGCCTTCGTCGTACCAATTGTTCTTTCGCGCTCGTTGAAATCCAACTACCATTTCATTGGTGGTTTGTAATGCGCCCTAAACTGCAGTGACAAGTTTAGCGGTTTATCTATCCATCAAACCCGAGACTTCTAAAACACTACTTCATTTAGGCAGAAAGGATCTGCGAACTTTCATTGCGATCTCTCACTTTTGTGAGCTGGATGATATAGGGCCAGTACATATTCTTTGTGTAAGTTTGTCTTTTGCTAGGCGCATACTCGCTCGCATTGGTGGAACGAAACAAGTTGAAACATTTTTTCGAATTGGATATAGACAATTGACTCAGATCAATACATTTAGATACTATCAATTAATTTTATTAATCTTCTCAGTAATTTTTGTCAGTGTAATTTTTTTTTTGCACGTTGGCCAAAGGCAAAGTCTTTTTACGATTTACCAGCGTAAAAAAAACATGCCCTGTCATAGTAGCTGATTCTATGCTAGTTCCTATCGTATTTAGGTCACTGTCATTACCCAACTAGGAAACAATAAAAATATTTAAAAGCAATTAACGTGGAAGTTATGGCCAACTCAGCGCCGCATAGTGTTCTATTTTGGACAAAATTGACAAAATTTCGAGAACGAGAAGAGATAGCGAAACAAAATAACGGTATTTTAAAGCTTTTGATATGGCGAATTCAGGAAAAATACACTCGTTGGATAGAATAATTGCCTTGATGAATTTATTAAAACGTTTTATACGCATATTTTTGTGTTAAGAGATGCATTTCCATGGTAGCAAAAACCACAAACGGAGCTTACATTCTTTTGTTTAAAGTTCATTGTATGCTGCTGTTAGGTAAAACAATTCAAAAATTAAAACATTTTACTTTTGAAGATCGGTTTTGAGCCCAAGGAAATGGTTTATTCAATCATTACCAGTTTCTAAAATCAATTTAAAATTTTATCAGACTGTTAAAATTTAAAGTTACAAATTTTCCAAATAAAACTGTGTAATTTTAAATTTCAACAGGCTGATAAATTTAAAATTGATTGGTGCAACCGAGCATCAGACTTTTAAAATGACCTTCAAAAACAATGTTTTTTTTTATTTTTTTCCCCTATTTTTTGGCCCAAAAGCCCCAAAAATCAGAGTTCTAAACCTTGTGCAAAAATAAAGAAAATTATGCAAATTCATATTGCACTTTTATTTACACTGTTTAGAAAAAATCTGAGTACGCATTTTTTTAGCCCATTAAATTTTAGTATAACAAAGTGCAAGTCTGAGGAAGTTGGGACTTACCATTGATTTTTGGTAAGTTTTTTTGTTGAAGATGTCACTTATCTTCTCCATAAAAAATAATGTACGAGAATTTTTAATTAACCATATTAAAAAAACAAATCTTTGTACCTAAACTTTATTGATTGACTGTAGGTGTTTAAAACTTTTGAAAAGTCCATATAAAAAAAATAACAAAAAATTAAAAAAATTAAAATAAAAAAAAATATAAAAAAATTAAAAAAAAAATATTAAAAAAAATAAAAGAAAAAACAAAATTAAAAATACATTAAAAAAAATATAAAAATTAAAAAAACCCTTTTTTTTTTGAAGGTCAAGTGAATTATTTTATCAAACGAGACTATCTTTCCTCAATTCTCCATCCCAAAAGCTCTAAAATACCGTTAAAAATGTTGCGCTCTCTCTTCTCATTCTCCAGATGTTTGATTTTGTCCTTTTCTTCCAAAAAAGAACACAGTGCGCCAATATTTCTTTGACAGACTGTTTATTCAAAACCCTCGAAAAGAGCAACGCAAATTTACCAACTATTCAAACAACGTAAGCAGGTAAGAAACTAGAAAGGTAATTAAAAGAATTTTAATTAAAAGTTGTGCTTTCAAAAGCAAAATTAACTGTAAATGCGGAGAAAACATGTTGTGAAAGAAAGCAAAACAATAATTAAATAAAGAGCAACAATGAAGTGGGCGAAAATATCGTATATTTGTATGTATGTATGTATGCTGACAACAAAAATACAAGTATAATATAGCAATTCGCTGCTGCGGCATCTCTTTGAGTAATGAAATGTAATGAAAAATGTAAGCAACTGCCTTTTATGTAGATCTTTTGAGTCGAAGAAGTAACAAAAATTGAAATTATGCCAAAAAGGAAAAGAAGTACAGATGTAGCTCAAAAATAAAACACATATGCAAAAAATGCTGCGCAATCGCACAAAATTGAAATACATAATTATTTATGGCACTCGAAACAATGGAAGCGGGCGGCAAAAGTGAGTCGAGTGGGGGTTGCGAGGAGCACTTAGCATCAAATGGCATGGAATCTGGCAGGCAGTTGGGCTGATGCGGCAAGTCAATGTGAGCACTATTTAGTAGCGCATTAAATTCATATTTTTAACACGCTTATACAATACAAAATCATAGGAAAACAACAAAGAGCACAAGCGAATGGGCCGAGCCTGAGTGGCCATAAAATAACATACAAATTTCACACTAAATTACAATTAAATCGTCACACTATTGTTTATGTTTATGACGACGATAATAAGTCGACGAATAGGCNAGCATTCGACGAATGGAGAACGAAGAGGAATCTATGATTGAATGGGCGAATGGTTGAATGAGCGTGTAACGTGGCGCGCATGCTTGCAACATAAATTTCGGTTTTCGGCCAGCACAACTTGTATGTTGGTACATATGTATGTAAATGGATGAGGCGGCAGTAGGTAGAAAAACTAAAAATAAAAGCAAATAGAAACCATTTGTTTGTATGCAGTTGCTGGGCGGCACTTGCAACAATTAATTAGCCAGGCGGTAGACCCCCAGCAACTGCCCACCGCAATCGGAGCGGTGGCATGCGACGCTAGCAGCGCGGGCATTGCAATAAACATAAGGGACTACATAGTACAATGTGTGGATTGGACGCTTAAGCCGCCGAGCCACGCCGCCGCCGTTTTTTGTCATTTCTCACGAGTCTCCGCCGAGGTGCGGAAACATCGGCGCCGTTTTCAAAACAAAACAAAAACTTCTTTTTTTTTTCACTACTTCAAAGCCGCTAAACATGAGTATGAAGTCATTTATTTTTTCAAAAAACAGGCGTAACTCGGGAAAAACATAGGAAACACGTTTTCCGATTGGAAACGTTTAGCACGGTTAAACAAGGGTCGAATAATGGTAATCTGAGGACGCATAGCAGTCAATTTTTTTCAATATTTTAAGAGACCAGCCGAAAAACTTGATTTGCGAAGCTCATGTGTTTGTGGAATTGCCGCCACTTCGAAAACAAGGCTGGTCAAGATTTTTTCTTACTCACGGAGACATTCATATTAGGGCCTTAAAACTATGCCCAAACGTTATCATCAAAACTTTTTCTACCCAGGGTTAAAGTTTCCTCGATTTGGTAAAAAAATTATTTATTTGCTATTTTTCATTACACTTTTGTACGAGGGCAATTTGAAAAAAGTCCGTGATTTCTTCTAATTTCCTGCACAGCCATTTTAAATGCAATACTGCTCCCGTAAACTACCATCGATTAATAGACTACTGTAAAATTTGGAGCAAGCTACGCCATTTAGTTTGTGTTTGACAGCCATTGGGAAAAAAGTGATTGCCCTCGTATATTTACTCTTCCGCCTTACTACGTAGAAGATTTAGGTTTTCGGTGACCCTTGGTATAATTTGCTGCTTAATATTTTAACGAAAATTTTACCATCTAGGAAGCATTTTTTCATCGTTGGGTCAAAAACACCCATTCTGGGTGTTGAGTTGGTTGGTGGGTTAAGAAACTGGAGAAAAGTTGACCACTCTTGTTTTCGAGATGGCGGCCAATTTTCAATCCGCAAATCAAGTTTATAGTTTTAAAAAAGAATATACCACCAAGCAAAAATTTTTCAGAATTTCGTATTTTAACTCCATGGACAGATTCTTTGGCGAAAAATTAGTGAGTACCATATTCATGTTCAGCCAACTAAAACTAAGTATTTAGTTTAAAATGTAGCTTCATGGTTTCCTATGCTCTTTGGAATCTGTCCTATGGGCAGTTGTGTCGGCGTTGTCAGACGGGACGCCGGCGGCGCCACCGTCGCCGATTCTTTTCAAAGTTGACGACGCCACCGCCGAAAAGCTTATGCGCGTTAGCCTCTAGTATGTTTGTGTATACAAGATGCAAAGTCAGCGATTTCCTTTGCTATTTGTAAACCGATTCAAGAGTAAATTTGCTGTAATTTTGTAGCTATTGTTGTTACTATTATTATTTTGAATTTGATTGTTTTGTTGGCTAAGTACTTACTACTTGCATGCCTTTAATCATTACCGACACAGAAATATTTTCATAACTGAATACATCAAGAGATAAATGATGGTAATTACGTCAGTTTTTTTTTTGTTTTTTGTGGTATAAAGTGAAAATTTTGAAATGTTCAGGCAACCAAGCCTGATAACTTTACAGTCGCCAATTTGTACTTGTATATTCACAAAAAGTAACATATCAGTTACATATAGTGTATGTAAATACGTACATATGTATGTATGCATGTATGTACATTAGACTGCATCACTCCCCATACAAACAAAAAAATCGGTTCTCCACTGGAATTATAAAATCTATTATATTTTAAGACTTGGAGCAAAATATATCGGAAAAATATTAAGATTTACGTGAGGTGGACCGATTTGAAAATACCTCCAAAAATGGAGTTTTTTCATGAATAAAAATAGTTTTTTAAAGAATTTTTTTAAGAAAATCCCCTCAGATGACAAAACAGTTTAAGCTTACAAAATCTGCATAAAAATATACAAAAAAAAATTTCAACGGAAACGTAATAATGAGATTTTCGAAGTCTAAATCGGAATAGTTTTAGTTGATTTACTCAAGGTTTTTTTTAAACCAATCTTTGAAAAAAGTTAAAAAAAAACAGCATAAAAAATCTAATTTTTTACGATTTCGTTGAAAAATATTTTAATATTTTTATGCGAATTTTTTAAGTTTAAACTGGGTTGTCATCTGAGGTGATTTTTTTTTTTTCAAAAATTTCTTTAAGAAATTATTTTTATTCATAAATAACTCAATTTTTGTAGGTATTTTCAAATCAGTCCAGCTCATGCAAATCTTAATATTTTTCCGAAATATTTTGGTGAACGTCTTCAAATATAATAATAATTTTGTAGTTCCGGCGGAAAACCGGCAACTTTTTTCGGCGATGCAGTCTAATGTACATACCTACGTATTGCAATATAGCAATAATTTCTAGCTTCGTCTTTATATGTACATACATAGTTACCTCGTGAATGCGAAAATATTATTACAGTGACTATTGTTTCTTTTTTCGTTGTTGTTCTCAATTTTACTTTCAAAATTTGTTCAGCTGTTGTTTGTGAAAAATATTATTTTATCTGTACTAAAATACTGCACAGAAACCGCGCACGCCTTGCCCGATGTCCGTCGTTTATACGCGTCGAGCCAACTGATTTTAAATTGAAATTTCAATTTGACTCAAGTGGCCAATTCGCCGTTTATCAACGAACGAATTATTAACAATCAACCATGCCGACCAAGCTACAGATGTTTACGTCCCCCACTGTCGGTGGCCAAGCCAATGTGAGTCGCTAGCTAGAATACTGAAGTGCCACTTAAAAAAAGAGATATTCGCTAGACATTTTGGAGCGTAAGCAATTGAAAAGAATATATACAAAATCTATTCAAAGCAGCTAAAAGTTAGAAGATTCTTGCCGGCTTAGTTTTTGAAGTACGCACAATTATCGCAGCAGAAAAAATAATTGCAAAGCTAAAGAATTCCTAATGAACAGTGCATGGTTCGCACTCATGTCTGAACCGAGAAAGTTTGCGCTAAGCTAAGAGTAGGCTCCTTTCACCTCCGGTTACCGCTCAGAAATACCAAAATCCCATCTGTGTAGGAGCATTTCGCTACTTGACACAGGAACTCCTAAAGGAAGAATATAGCAGTTGGGATAGATGACTTCAAGAGTGCCTAACCAATTCTCCAGTTATATTAGCTATTCTAATTGGTATTACACTAATACGTTTATATGTACATAGTCATTCGAGGCGTTCCGTCAGCCCTTCGGATGCTCCTATTCACAGAGCCAGCCTTGGTACGCACCGATCCATTCTTTCAGGTGTGTATGAAGCCAAAGGCGAACCCAGTTCTTCTTAACCTGATGGGGTAGCGGACGGTGAAAGCCGACTCTTATCATAGCGTTAAGCGCTTAAGTAGGGGTGGTCCAAGAGTACGCTAAAAAGTGGCTATTTGCGCGCGCTCTTCTTCTTAGCTAATGTACATTTTTCTAGTGAATTCAAACAGACAAAAACCCAATATTCCATAATTGACTGGATTATGGATCCATATAGCTAGTAGATTGCCTTTGGAGAGAGACTCCACTCTTCTCCATGGATTTTTCACGGCTATTTAGAGCAACCGATGCCGTTTTTACTCGCTCCTCACTATTTGGCTTCTGCCAGCGCCACCGATTTAATGGAGTTGGGACTTAGGCACTTTATTTCTACTGCGAATTGCTGCATGTTACTAGGTTTAAATAACATGTGAAGGTAAGTGCTCTTGAATAAGATCATATAGAGTCCAGAAACTTTCCACTGATGATAAGAACCACGTCGTCAGAACGGGCGGAGCGACAGCCGCTTCCTTCTAGCTGCTCCAGGACGCCTTTAAGGCCAACGATGTGGTGTCGGATGATGATGAGCAAACGATCTATCTTATGGGATTTTTTTGGTAACGGAACGGCGGTGACGTTTTCGTTCCTTCTCTCTATCCCTCTATCAGCAGCAATTTTATAAGTTGATACGGACGGAAAGCACGGATGGGCGCTCCGTGGGTGGCTGATTGAACCATAACTAACACTATTATATTCAAGGCATATAACGTTTAGGTGCCTTTCAGTTGAGCGTGCCGAGAAATACTTGATCACACTCGAGGTATGCTTATATAAATATTCAAAAGGCAGTCAGTTTCATGGTGGGGAAGATAAGAGTTACGTTTGAAGTTAATTCCTGATTAAACACTACTACTAACTCCTCAAAGATATTCAGTAGGTTAGGTATGTAGTAATGAGTATAACAATAAACTACAAGTAATTTTTAAGCAAAAAACCCAACTTACTTCAATTCTCATATAAAAATTTAGGGGTACCGTTAATTTCTTCGTGTTCCAATGATCGGATCTAAACCAAATTATATGGGACCACCTCAGAGACACTACCTTTCCCAATTATGGAAATCGGTTGACGTGGTCCAAAGTTATGCGGTAACATAGGACATAAATCCGACGAATTGATAACCTTCTCCTTTTTGTGAAGTCGGTTAAAAATAAATGAAAGGGAACTAACGATCTGATTTGCTAGCGAAAACTGGAATAAACTTAAAACTGAGAAACACGCCAAGCATGCGCCGTTCCCTTATTTATTGGCGGACAGAATTAGACATCCAAAAAGCCTCAACTATATTCTAAGACATCCAAGGCCTATTTTCAACATACTCGTTGAGGTAATTGCGGGACCCTGTCTTAATCTCAAGCATTCAAGGTAGGACAGAGAGTAAAAAATGTATGGCATCCGCACACTGCTGCATATTTTATGTCACTGTTTAGCTTTCGGAAGATTGCGAATCAGCTAGCTTGGCTCTGCTTTCTTCTCCTCATCCAAAAATCAAGAAAACTAACTGCAGACCAAAGAACTAGCAAATTGTTAAAGTTTGGCAATTCACTTTCTTGGTAACATTAAGAACCAACTAATGGTAAATGCGAGATCTCTTGGATCAGCCAAGCTAACCTCATAATCGCAAACTTAAAAAATTCAATTTATTTTAAATCAGAAAACGTGATTTTATAACAACACCATTTTTGATTTGAGAAACTTAAGTATTTCTCCATAACTACAGATGCGCTTGAACTTCAATTCAGCGCCCACTTCAATTTGCAAAACACTACAGTAAACGAAATTGGACATCATAAAAACTAATATTTTGTATATGTACGTTTCTGTAAAAAAACACAACTACATAAGTCGAATATGCACTTTTATATGTATGTAAGTATGCCAACAATTGCACGCACCGAATACATACATACGTACATCCCACGCACAATGACTAAGAATTGGCACACATTCCAAACAATTTATTGACTGACGAACTGACTGCCATAATGAATGTGCATAAATATAAAAATGTAAGAGTACAGATATGTACGAATTGACAAAACCACAAAACATAACAACAACAATAACGATGAAAAAAAGCTAACAGTCAACTGACTATATTGACAACAACCGGCAACAGTCAAGCGTCAAACAATGGCAGCACCAGAGCACATAGACGACGACGAGTGGGGAGGCCGGCCTCCAAATGAAGAGGAATTACAATTGAACTGATTGTTTGGACGCACTAATAGAAACAACAACAACAACAGAAATGGCAATAGTAATAAGAATGTAAGCAACAACAAAAACCAAAAGGCGATAATATAGAAAAGTAGCTCAAAGTTAGATTGGAAGTATCGGCAAAAAATATTTTTCTTCGCTATTTACTGTTGTTCATTGAAAATTAACACCGAGGTATAAGTAACAAACAAACAAACAAACATGTCGATACTATTCCCATGTGTAGAAATATTCATTAGGGTGGACCAAAAAAAAATAAAATAAAAGTCGGAATATAAACCACTTTTTTTAAATCAAAAACATTTAGAGATCCCTCAAAGCTCTTAAAGTTTTTCATGTATTTTATATAAGAAAAACTATTGTTCGTACAAATGGTAATGAAAGTCAATATTTTGCGATCGGAAAACTCTGCTTCTCTCCAGGAGATTTCCAATAATAATACCCCATTGATTATTTTACCATTTTTAGTACTAACGACTTTTTATGGGTCCAATCATTGCATTTTTTGGACCTATAAAAAATAGCTAATATTACTAAATGGTTAAATAAATATTGGGTATAATTATTGGAAGTCTCCGATCGAAAAATATTGAATTTCAAAAATTGAGTAGTCCACTTGCAAATAGCCTTATGTGATTTTATAATAGTAAGCCATAAACTAAAAAACAACGACTAAGACAACAAGTACATAACATCTAAATTGAATCTTTTTTTTTTTATTACCTAAAAATTTGAATAAATAAGAGCCTAATAAAATTATGTATAACATAACATTAACAGTCTATACGACCTAAAACAGTTTTCTAAGCTCTTTAGAAGATGGAGACTTTTGAAAGTTTATGAATACATACATATGTATGATAGCGACTTTTGCAAGAAGAGTTAACATTTGATGCTATCTTTTTTTCAGAATATAGTAAGATTTTACACTGTGTTGTTAGTGGACATGAAACTACATATTACCCACCAAAAACTAAAAATCGAAAAAAATTTACGTAGCGCACTTTGCAAGTGGACTACTCAATTCTATGCCATTTTTACGAAAAAATGTTTTTTTTTCTCATATAAAAAAATGAAAAACTTTAAGCGACCTCTAAATATTTTTTTACATAAAAATAAGAAAATCAGGGGTGCATTTTTTGGTAGATAACAATCTTAGGGCTGGGAGCATTATAGTTCCGACTTTTATATTTTATTTTTGGACTACCCTAATGCAAATACATGCTTTTTTTAGAAGTCATTGCAGTGATAGAAATACATAGATAGAAATTGAAGTCTAACGGCCCTCAATTTGAGTCGCTTCGTTTCGTCCATAAGTGGGTAATAAGCGAAGGAAAGGTGAAACTTCAACACGCACATGCACACGAACTTATATGTACGTAAGTACATACATACATACATTCTTGTACAAGTTACACTCTCGCATAAACTTGTACTTGAAGATAAAAGCGCTCGTCAAGTAACATTATCTAGAAGCAGCAAAAACTACAAAACAAACAAATAAAACTAGCAACTGTGGCAGTAACTGCAAATGCAGTAAAAGTTCTTGAAAATTAAAACACAAAAAAAACAAATGAGTAAATAAATAGAAAAGAGAAAATGTGTTATAGTAGAGCTGTAAACTTCAAGAAAAATTATCTATTGAAGTGAAGGCGCAGTGAAAGGCCAAGAAATCATACTCCGCCACATGCCACGCGAGAAATCAATGCAATTCAATCACTTACTTTCGTACATGTACTTATGTACATATCGAACCTTAACCGCGAAAATAACGTAAGCGACATTTTTTCGAAATTTTCTTTTGATGCAGAAATTATCCTACAGCATCTAGATGGATTTCTGCATACAAACAAAAAAAAAATAAAAACAAATGGCGCTTGCCTTTTTTTTGCATTTAGGGCTAAATATGCACATACATACATGTGTGAATTTACGAATGACACACTGACCCAACATTGCTTAAAAAGGGGGGAGTAGGAAGGTTG